ACCACCACCACCACCACTGCCATCACCACCACCCTTAGAAATGTTCAGCCAGTAACAATCTACTGAAGTAAAGGGCTTGTAAGTTATCCTTGTATAAATGCATGGGAAGGAGCAGAGTTCATTTGTAGTTTCTTGATATCTGTTTTGAAATTTCTGTAAGGTACAGTTTGAGGCTTCCTATAGCCATGTAGATTTGATATTCAAAATAATTGGAAAACATTTCTGACAAAAAAGAGGTTTATCTTGTTCATCTTTTCATCTCTAGTGCTTGGCAGGTGTTCAACAACTGTGTTCAATGAATAATCAGATTATTCATTCCTTTATTAATAAATGTTTGAGTCAGAGACTGAGTGGGACCAAAGAGAACAGGATAGAGCCCTTCAGAAAGCTTACTGTTCAGCAGATGTATTGGTCCTATGCTTTTTTTAGGGACATTAGTAGTACATGGAGGTTATAAAGCTATGGAAGACTTGTAAGTCAACTGAGACTTTCCTGCATACCTGCTTTCCTGAACAATTTATTTTAGTTGGTAGCTCCCAATAGGAAGTGGCTTGCTGGAAAATTTCCATTATAATTTAATTTAAAATTTGACTTCCTGCATGAGACTATAACAAGCATTAAGTCTGCTTAGAGGCAGACCTGGTTCATGCTAGAAATCTAATTACAGCTATTTCCCTGTGATTTTTTGAATGGTAAAATGGCTTTCTGGACACTTATACCACTAACACAAGCCACGGTTTCCATCTATGATAACCACTAACACCAAAAAAGTAGAAAACACAGCTCTTCTATTCTTCTGGAAGTTGCCATCTATTATTGACATTTAAACATGAAATTTTGGGGGACTGTTTTTATGTTTTTCAAATCCAGATGGTTGTTCCAAAAGGAGGACTGTCCCTGCTGATCAAGTGGGTAGTAGAGAAACAAATTTCTTCCTGCATGAAAATCCACCGTGGAAGGCAGCTCTGCTGTTATCATCATGGGCTATGCTTCTTGCCTCCCAAGAGCAGTGCTCCTGTGTCTAAGGAAGGTCTTAAATTGCCCGTGGTCACTTTTCCTTGAAAACCTTGTCATGTGCCTTAGCAGATGGCCGGTTTGCACTTAGGCATGAAATCTAGCACACTGCTGGCACAGTCACTCTATTTCTTGAGACTTATTTGAGCCATGAAAGTTTATAATTGAATTAAGTGGGCTCTTATAACAAACGGTTTTAATTCTGATTATGCAGGCATGTGTTTGCAAGCCAAGTACCAAGTATCATTGTGTGTTTTTCCTGATATTAAAAGAGTAGTTTCTTTTGAAAAATCGTAGCCCTTTCTTGGTAATTTATTTCCGAACACAGAAAAATCATAGGTATTCATTT